GTTTCCAGTGAAAAGGATCTCCTGTTCTCTACAGTCACCAAACGAAACACAGCAGCGTAAAGCTGCAATTTGACGCTGGTATTCTGTGTGTATATTCCTTCCTCGTTCGAGTCGACGCATTTGTGCTACAACTTTGCCTGTAATATAACTACAGCATGGCTCTACCACCTAAAAACATATAATTAGTTATGATTATATAATATAATCATAGCTAATTATATGTTGTACAAAGTACCAGGGTCCACAATTATACACCTGTACTTAACTATGTACAGGTGTATAATTGTGGACCCTGGTCCGTATCGCCGATTGGCCAAGATACTCTGGCGGTGTATCATCGCCATTCCTTTGGAAGCACGTAATAGCGTTGTTCCTGTGCTTCTTTCTCCAGCCTTGTCAACTTACCATCCCATCAGATTACTGACAGTGAAGGAATAGGGAGTGCACCTGATTTGTACATTCGTGTACTATAAGTCTGTCCTGAGGCGCTGATGGTTAGCCTCTGTTGGGACTGGCCGCCGAAACTGTAATTCGGTCTAGAGGACATTATTATTATAATTGCATACGTATTGAAATATATTAGGTCTTTACCTATGAAATTGCCGTTTTTTATGAAATAAGTTCACGTAATATATTTTCTATATTTTCTATTTGTATTAATAAACAAATATACATTTTTCAAGTCTGAAATTACGAATATGACTACTATGAATTGTGTGTTCACTGCGCATTTGGAAATAATAATTTTTTTATAGGATAGGGTAACAAACGAGCACACAGTCCACCTGATGGTCCTCGACTACGAATCAAAATTCAGATGCGTTGTCACCCGTGAGGTCTAAGTTGGAATGCCTCGTTTCCAGTAAAAAGGGTCTGCGGATCTCTACACTCACCATACGAAACACAGCAGCATTAAGCTACTATTTTACGCTGATATTCTGTGAGAGCGTGGTCCTTCCTCGGTCGAGCCGACCCGTTCGTACTACAAGTATACTACTTATATAACTGCAGCATGGCTCTACCACGTATATATTTGTATATGTATAGTCTAATGGGACGGTAATCCGACACGATAGGAGATAGATTAGGCTTTACGTGTTTTCCGAGGCATGGGGGTGAAACACGGTCAACTCCCTGACTCTGGGCTGCTACTCGGACTTTCTTGTCAGAAAAATCCAATAATTTATTTTGTCCCAGTACGGGATTTGAACCTGGGGCATCATGATCAACAATCGCTTTCGATCACTAATCCAACGAGGCAGTCATGAATCAGTCAATTATCTAGTTCCTGTGATGTTAGTGCTAGCTTTTAGCTTTTACTGCTTTCCTATGCGTGAATATGAATTCTAACAGAAAATCGTTCGTGGTAAACTGTAAAACATTTATTGTCCCTTTCATCCTAGACGTCACTCTTAGCACGATAGTGTCAACTACGCAGCCGAGTATTTTTTCCATTAGTTTGTGTACGTACGTATGGTGTAACTTAGAGCCACATTTGACTACAGTAGACGCGTCTTAATGGTCCATTTCGTAGTAAGGACCGCTTAACAAGTTTTTAATTGTTTCTGAGGAGTCATAGTCAAATGTATTTGTTGTTGTTATAAACGGTGATGTAAAGCACATTTCCCCAAACTTGCCTGTCAACAATCGAATTTCGACCACTCGCAAAACCGCCTCTCAGCTTCGCGGCCGTCGTGCACTTTCGCTTTTTTAAATAAATCTGTAACTCTCCTATCAATAGTTTGTCACTTAAAAGTATCGATTCTGTCCTAAGATATTTCTGTAAGAACACTCATTATCTCGGTACTTATTTTCGATACTTGTTAAAAAAAGTGTGTACTTCAAAAGTTTTTAATTTTCTTACATTTACAAAGTGTTTCTTAATTTTATTTTAAGTGATGAATGATTACTGAATTTTGCAAGGCAAGTCATTGATAGACATTTTGTGTTTCCTTTTTCCATACCACTAAAAATAAAAGGACTTGATTTTGTGTAAGAACTTTAACAAATATCCATAAAGCTCTATAATGAATAACATTATAATTTCCTCTGCTAAATTAGTGATACTTATCCATTTATTGAAAAAGTTAGCACATGTTAAATGCGACAGTGTAGAAGAAAACACAGATGTAGTAAACAAAAATTTGTTCGATAGTAAAAACATGATACATGATAATGGAAACGGGGGACTTTTACGACTTTTAAATGAAAATAAATTGAACTCGGAAATTCTAAAAGGTGTCGGTAAAGAATCAGATGTCGTTAATAATTACGAAGATATAACCGTTTTAGACAATAACGGACTATTAAAAAATTTTAAATACAAATCGTCTAATAAACCTTGGGTACCAGTGAATTTACAAAAAGTGATTCATAAAAGTAATGTTACAGTGTATAAACATAGTGACAAAGCGATGAAAAATGATACTCATGTGGAAAGTACATTAAAAGGTGATAATGAGGAAGTCAATTTAGATACAAGCAGACACAAATCAAAATTTTTCGATGAACTGGGATGTAAGTACATCAATTTTTTTTAATACGTTTTAGAGCTACGCGGCAGCTATATAACTTTGTGAATTTAGTCTAAACGGGTCGATTTGGTCAAGTAGGATTACGCTTGAAAGAGCAGAAACATGCTGTGTTTCGTATAATAAGTGTAGAGAACTAGCAGAGTGTTGAGGCATGCCATCTCAGTTCTCGGGGGTTACAATGCATCTATATTCTGATTCTTAATCAAGGATTGATGTGGATGAGGCCGCAGTATTTATTTACTATCAGGTGAAGTGTATGCTCGCTTGTTACGTAACTCTACGGGTATATTTAACAACAACAAATATAGAAGATATTATTTAAAACATAGATTCATCTCATAGTAGCCAGAGATCAATGTTATTTGCATCTCTGGCTACTCGTAAGGCTCTATTAGGAATCATGCATGTTTTTACATAAAAGTGACAAACGAATTTACAGTTTACTTCATGGTAAATGGCTACTGCAGCCTATATACGCCTGAAACGAATTTCAAATGAAAATGGTTAGAGGTGCGTTTCCACCTCTGAGGATTAAAAATGGAATGCCCGCAACCTGTAATCGTACTGGTTCTCTATAGCCTTTAAACCGCAACACAGCAGTGCTTGCACTGCTGCTTGGCGGCAGAAATAATATCTGTCTAACACACTATACTTTTGTTAGGTGGGATAAAAGTCCAATGCCAATGTGGTGGCAGCGTTTATTATACGTGGTAGAGCCACGCTGCAGCTTTATTATAGTTGTAGCACGAATGAAATGAAATGAATGATTTTATTCAGTATAGATCAGTGTATAATACTTATTGAAAGTCATTTTTATTTACTCCAGCCTGGTCAGCTCGACCAGGGTAGGACCACGCTCTCACAGAATACCATCGTAAAATAGCAGCGTAATGCTGCTGTGTTTCGTATGGTGTGTGTACAGAACCGAAGATTCTTTTTACTCGAATCGAGCTATTCCACCTTAGTTCTCAGGGATAACAACGCATTTGCATTTCGACCCTTAATTGAGGATAAATGTGGATCATTATGGGTCACAGCATCCACTTACCATCAGGTGGACTGTAAGCTCGTTTGTTACCCAATGCTATAAAAAAAGCATCCATCGCCCAATTTCATCCCACGAGTGTCGTAAGAGGTGACTTTGGATGTATTAAGGCAAATCCTAACTTGAAAATTCTGGCCAATTCCAAGCTGAAGAAGAAGTAGATTAGTTTAAAATATTATCCATATTTTCTTTCATATGTCCTTACAGTCATCAATCTTAAACTTCACTTTCGCTTTCCTTCTAGATTTTTTTGGAAATACAGAAATTTTGAACTGATATTCAAGAGAAACATAAAAAATTCATAGGCATACTCGTACCGTGTAATAAAGACATAAGTGTTGATGATTATAACATCAACAAATGGCACAGCTTTCACGCAGTGATCTATTTAAGGGCCTTTTGAAATGAAACGTTATAAATATTTTATGTATTTATGGTTCGTCATGCACTCTTGACTACGCGCGACATATGTAGTAGAATGTGGACGGTGATTTTGTACTGACACACGTCGATGACCCCTGTTATGAGGATGTGATACGTATTAAGTAGATAGATTTTAAGTATTTTTTACTTATATGTAAAAAACAACCACCTACATAGTATACATACTCGTACGCTACAAATTTCCAATGCTACTGTTGTTGCTATAGTCATGGATGGCATGATGCGAAACGCCGCGCCCGTGCCTCGCTAATTTACAGTTACTTTGAAATAAGACAGCCATCTACGGTTATATTATGACGGAGTACAGTGCACTGAAATATTTCAAATATTTACTTATCCTGAAATTTCAAATAAACTGAAAACTGGATCAGGAGGTCACATAATTTTTACTGTAAAATATTTCTTGTGCCGCTAGCTATTTACCGTTCTTCATTTAACTACTATACCCTAAAAAGTTCAATAAACTTTTTATTAATGGACAAGGGTGGGTATGCTTTTAACTTTATTTATATTTCTTTTGATAATTTCAAATATTATTATTTATATAGAAATGCCGCTTAAAATTGGACATGCGGTCCTGGTTTCTTATCGTAGAATATAATCTAGAAGTAATTAATATATCGAATGTGTCATATGTGTCGGTCATTGTAATAGTGATGTAACTCCATAATATTAAAAAAATTTTATTTTCCCATAGTGGGCTTACAATGTATCATATCTTTCAATATAAAAATGAAGCAACTCCACTGATACCACTAAAGTAACGTAGATGTCGCTATTTTGTTTAGTCTGGGAACAGATTTGTACTGTTATTCACTATAAAAGTGAAGTATGTCCCAAGTCACTTTTATAATGAAGTAAGTCCGGAGTTGATTCACTTTTATTGCGACCGATTGTTGTCATCCGTTGTACGTGTTGTGATAATTATTAAAAAAGGATTTTCAAAGTCGGTGTTTTTTGTGGGGTTTTAATAAAATATGTCTAATACAGAAGATTTTAGTGATTCTGGTTCTGAATATCAGCCTATTCCTGGAGAAATTCATACAGAATCTGGTAAGTTATATTTTTATTAGTTGTTTTTCTAACCTAAAAATATTGTGATAACTTTCAAGTTTATAGACAAGAAAATACGATATCTAAGAATATATTTTCTATTTAGTTATGTCCTAGAAATCACTATTATTTTATTGGTTTCGTTTTTATACTTGTTTCAGAAACAGATACAAGTTGTGACGAAAATATTATGATGCCGTCTAGTCTATCAGAACCTGGAACATCTAAATCTAGAAAAAGGTCAATCAACAAGGAAAATTGGACAGTTAATAAAAGAAAGTTATTGCGTAATAGTGGAAAAGGTTATGTAACTAAAATGGGAGTGGAGAAAAATACCAAAATCTTCGAAAATATTGACTGTGGATGTCCTAAAAAATGTTATACGCTTTTTACAGAAAATGAAAGGCAAGAAATGTTCGAATCATTTTGGAATTTAAAGGACTTTAATCAGCAAAATGCCTTTCTATATGCATTAGTGCAAAAAGCATCTGTTAATAGAAAACGACCTAAAGATCTGTCACGAGCAGGAAAAAACGTTTCGTTTAAGTATTTTCTCAAATCTCATATTATGACATAACTGGTATGTAAAAAATATTTTTTGAAAACATTCCAAATCAGTGATGGAAGATTATATCGCTGTCTATCAAAAAGGCGATGTCTCGCAATGTAAAGATAAACGAGGCACGACTAGTACTCGAAAATTAGATGATTCTGACATTATTACTCATATACAAAGCTTTCCGGCGTACCAAAGCCATTACACAAGAAAAAGTAATCCTAACCGGAAGTTTTTAAATCCTGGGCTAACTATTCGAAAGATGTACGATCTATATAAAGAAAAATGTTTGACTGAAATGACAGAACCTAAAAAATTAAAATATTATAATAAAGTTTTCAACACCAAGTTTAATCTACATTTCAAGGCACCGCACCAGGATACATGTAAGACTTGCGATAGCTTGAATTTTAAAATTAGAGGCACCGATGACGAGAACGTGAAGAAAGAGTTTGAAGTTCAAAAGGAACTTCATCAAAGAAAGGCAGATTCGGCAAGAGAAAATCTACAAATTGATGCTAAAAAGATTAATGACGCATATGTACTAACCTTTGATTTGCAGAAAGCTTTAGCTTTCCCAAAATTAACTACTTCGGTAGCATACTATAAAAGGAATCTGTATTTGTATAATTTGGGAATACATTGTTTTAATAACAACACGGGGTACATGAACGTCTGGAATGAGATAGAAGGAGGTCGAGGGTCTCAAGACATTGCAGTCTGTCTCGTGAAACATTTAAAAACTCACGCGGTAACACAAAATCACGTCATCATGTATTCCGATTCTTGCACTGGACAAAATCGAAACATTAAGACTACCCTTTCCCTTTTAAAGCTCGTACAAGACCCGGATACTAGTATAACCACCATAGACCACAAGTTTTTAGTGTCCGGGCATTCTTATTTGCCTAATGATGGGGAATTTGGGATAATTGAGAGCGCAAGTCGCCGTCATGAACAAATTTATAGCCCGGATCAATGGATTGAGATCATGAAAACAGCCAAACGCAAAGAACCACATTTTGTAGTAACCGAAATAAAAAATTCCGAATTTAAAAGCACTGCGGCATTAGAAAAATGTATTACCAACAGAAAAAAAACAACCTGTGGTTACGACTTCAACTGGCTGAATATTAGATGGCTGAGGTTTGAGAGGAATCATCCTTTACAATTTCAATTTAAAGAAACGCTCAACGCTGACATGCCCTTCTACAAAGTAGATCTATCAAAAAAGCAACAAGGACGACCAGCTTACTTGTACAATATTCAACAAGGCCCACTCTATCCTTCAGGAAGACCAGTCACTATTGCTAAGAAGAAGGATATGCTTGATCTTCTCCCATACATTCCACCAATTTACCATAAATTTTACAAAAATCTTACTGTAGACATTCCAACACGGTCAAGCATTCTTAATGCTGATGAACGTTCGTCTGATGACGAAATAACCTACGATTAACCACTTAACGAAATCACAATAAGTATAACTCGTCACTTTAACAGTGAAGTAAGTCCACAAAAAAAATTATAATTTGTTTCATTAAAATAACTTCGTCTTATTTTTAAGTAACTATATACTATTATAATATTTCATTTGTTAACTACAATAAAAAATATAAAGCATTGAATAAAAATTTGTAGTTTTTTTTCTACGCGTTAATTAACAAAACTCTTAATTTCTCAAAACTTCATTGCATGGAGATAATTCACTATTACAATGAACGACACATATTGCATTAATAAAGTGAATAGTTTTAAGATAAATTGAAATTAATGATTCCGGACGCGGAGTGGCCGATGCATCGTGTGTCAGTGAGAGACAGCGATACTTTAAGGTAACTATTATTAATTATTATATTTATATAAATTGTTATATAACTATTGTCTAAAAATACTAAAAAACTTTTATATTTTATTTTTTTATTTGTTTTTTTTTATTGTAAAAATATCGGTGTTTGATTTGTTGTGTATTAAAATATAGTTTTCTTTTTGTTTTAATATAGATATTTAAATAGGTAGTAATTTGTCCGCTTAATATGGTCACTTTCTACTAACTCGAAAACTACAGTCTTGTTTGCATAGATGGCATTTGAAACAGAAACAGAAACTTTTTTATTCAATGTAGATTATAACAATACTTATTGAAAGTCACTTTTTAATTTACCACTGGTTCGCAAAAAAAACCTCTGTCCTGGGAAGAACCAGCAAGAAACCCAGCGGGACTATTTTTTTTTAATAATAGCTTACAATCATGTTTACAATTAACAACACAAGACAAATTAGAAATAGCTTGGTAGCGATCACCCATCCCAGGGGTTATTATCATCCATATATTATAATAACCCTTTTTATACAAACTTAGTTTAATAACATTTTTGTACTTTGTGTATGACAAATTTTGTATATTTTCTGGGATTTTGTTGTAAAAACGTATACATCGCCCCAAGAATGAATTACTGGCTCGGTGGAGTCGAGTAACTGGTACTACTAGCTTGTGTATTATGTTATGTGTGCTCCTAGTATTTACAGAATGAATATCACTTATTTTCGCAAAAACTACTTTTATTTTTGTGTACGTACATTACATTTTCATAAATGTATTGAGAGGCCAGAGTTAATATATTGATTTCATTGTAATACGATAGCTCTTCATCGGTCAATCAAATAACAAAAGGTCGAAAGGGCGCTGCTCTATCGACGCCATTTTGACATTTGACATCATAGTAAATATTTCAGTTGATTTTAGTATGGTGTATTGTAATTAGTTTTTTAAGTTGATTTTTCGATTTTTCGAAGTGTTCCTAATTATTGCCAAAGTTTGTTTGCTATTTTTTCTTAATATATGCATATTTTAATGGGTCAAAAGTATCCGAATTTGGGATTTGTCAAACCTTTAAAAATTCATAACTTCGAAAATATTAACTTTATCGTAAAATGTCGTTGAAGCTTTTTTATTTGTATTTAATGTAATAATATTTAAAAAATATGTCGCGTTTGGAAATAACAATTTCTTGCAATTGTTTAAACAATTTCGTTTTAAACAATGTGGCACCGAGTTGCCAATGATTTGCCAAGGACAATTTAAAGAGAATCGCATAAAAAAAATGAGATGGAATAGTTTTCGCTACTCACGCACCGATTCCTCCTGGACTAATCAACTAATCATGCACCCTCCGGAAAGAGAGTTTCCTTTGATTCAATTTGTACTTATGTTTGACTTTTGTATGACCTTTAAATAGAGGAGATTCTATACCTTTGTTTCTCCCTTTACAGTTTCATAATTTTTATTGTCTGATGTCTGTCTGTTGTCTGATAAAAATGTTGGTTTTTTAATCTTTAAAATATCTGTAGTTTGAATAAAATATAACAGACTTTAAAAATTCTTGGTCAACAAAGGTATTCCTAAATGACTAAACACGGATAAGCGTGAACTACGAGTTTACAACAATTCGGAAGAGAAGCGTTCGTATAACCCGCCATTTCGTAATGTTACGACACACGCTATGCAGCGTTAGGGAGAAAGCGGCATCCGGTTTTCGTAATTGCAGCTTATTATTCAATGTACATGATTTGTAGGTATATTCATTTTTCTGCAAATCATGATATTGAACGATCGAACGTTATATGTGAATGCCAAGTTGTTTTTAATCAGAGCACCTAACTGACGACAGAAGGAGGCGTGATTAGCTGAGCGACTAAGTGCTTGCCGAAGAAAAATTCACAGTGCGCGTACTATCCGGGTTCTATCACATCGGCAGTTATAAACTTTTTAATTGCAATTTTAAGTACCGAATAAACCGTGAGGAAACATGCATTTCTGAGGAATATAATATTTCTATCACATGTAAAGTCCAGCTATGGAATGTATACAGGCAACAAACATTCCATAGCTGGACTTTACATGTGATGTGACTTTACCTTATTAACTTTAGGTCTAGAGTCGAAATCGTTGAATGTTTGTTGCTTTATATTCATAAAAATATTATTTAGACTCATAAAGCCACGACACGTACACAGTTTTTAATGCTAAGTATGATTCTTGAATCTAATAATCGCCATCATTTTAGGCAACGCTTAAAGTTGCTCTCTCTCTTTTTCACCCAGTAACAATAAAACGATATAGTAATAATTAATGCAAGGCAATATCTATTTTTTTATTTTTTTATTTTATTCAAAGTGGAACAGCTAACAACTACATTATATATAATTACATATAGATAGTACAGTAACATAGTATACGCAATAATGCAGCCCACAGTGCTGTTCACAGATTACCTCTTGGGATAGATAATTAAGACGCTAGGAGACCTGCAGCTGTACAGAACGTATTATACAAATGTCAAAGTATGGTCAACAGTGATATTATAATGTGACTAAGATAACAAATTATTATGTGAAAAGTGTCTTGTATAAAAGACCACGAAACTTTTCCTTTGAGCATCTAAAAATGTCTATATGCTCGAAGGTCTCATTATATGTGGCAACCATACGTCGAATTGGTGAACGAATACCGGTATTGGATCGACAGGTACTTACGGCAAAGAGTTTACCCGCACGCACCCGTCGTCTATGGACAGTTCTGGGAACTACATAACATAACAGATTGTTTAACTCAATACAGTCAAATTTACATCTTACTATATGAAACAATGTCATAGACTCCAATTGCTTACGTCTAGAGTGGAGGGTTAGAAGTTTGTATCTACTGAGTAACTGGTCATACGGTAAATGAGATTTATGACATCTATAATGCATTGCACGTAGAAACCGGCGTTGAACATTTTCAATTTTGTGTATATATTTATTATAATAAGGATTCCAAATGGGCACAGCATATTCAAGTTGAGAGCGAACTAGGGTTTTATATAAACAAAGATATGAAGAGGTCCGTTTGAAGTCGCGAGTTGATCTCATAATAAATCCATATAGTTTGTATGCTTTGTTAACAATTTGTTCAATATGTAAGTCTAAGCATAGTTTTGAATCAAACAGTATACCGAGATCTCGCATAGAATCCACTTTAGCTAAGGGAACGTTACACAGTGAGTACGAAAATGTAATAATATTCTTGTTTTTAGTAAAACGGAGATATTTACACTTCGGAATGCTTAACTGAAGCTTACTTTTGTAACAATAGTCTGTAAGTCTATCTAGGTCCTCTTGGAGAAGAATGCAGTCTTGTATAGTATGGATAGATTTATAAACTTTAAGATCATCTGCATATAATAAAAATTTTGAGTTGAGAAAACAGTTACTTATATCATTAATAAACATTATAAATAACAAAGGTCCGAGAATAGATCCCTGAGGTACACCGGAGGTAACCATCGTAACGTTAGAGTGGTATCCATTAATTACAACCCTTTGACAACGGTTAGTGATATAAGAAACAAACCATCGTAACAAATTACCCCGAATGCCATTGTAAGCTATTCGATTTAGTAACATTTCGTGGTCCACTTTATCGAAGGCCTTTCGAAAGTCTGTATATACTGCATCGACCTGTACGCGATCATCAACATTTTCAAATAAATAGCTGGAAAATAATAATAGATTGGTGGTTGTTGATCGACGTTTAACGAAACCATGCTGTTGCTGTATAATTATATTGTGCAGTATGGGATATATTTCGTTATGCACAAGTCTCTCGAAAAGCTTCGACAAAGTGGACAAAATTGATATCGGGCGATATTGATCTACACTACGTTTAGATCCGCTCTTGTGCACAGGTGTGATGTTAGCCTGTTTCCATACTGTGGGCATAACACCTTCAGTAATGCATTTATTATAGATGATAGTTAGGGGTTTACATATAACTGTGGCAGTGTTTCTTAGAAAATAAGCAGATAAGCCATCAGGGCCTGGCCCCTTAGATGGATCCAAGGATTTCAGCTCTCTTAATACCTTTTCTACTTCAAAATGAAGATTAGTAATAGTAGTGTCATGGGATGCTGAATCGGCAGGTGGTCTCCACTGCGATAGTGTAGGTGAGGGCGGTTCGTAAACGGAAGAGAAGAATTCAGAAAACATGTTGCATATTGTTTGTGGATCACTTGAAACATCATCATTATATTCAACCTTAGCTGGTATTCCAGGTTTGTCACGACGATTAGAGATGTATATCCAGAAATCCTTAATATTTTTGCGTATGCTATCCTCGACCGATCCAATATATTTAGAAAAACATTTATTGCACACATCCTTAAATAGCTTTCTATACTGGGAAAATATCTCATAGTCTGATATGTTGTTATATTTCTTCCATTTCACCCAAGCTTTACGTTTTTTTCTAAATGTGCTAATTAGAGATTTCGAAAACCAGACAGGAAAAGCAGAGGTTCTGGAGCCAACAAATGGCGTGTGTTGTTTGATAATTTCGTCAATGATTCCGTAAAATGCGCTAAGTGATTCTTCAGATCCCAGTGGAGTAAGTATTTTATCCCAGTCAGTGGACTCTAT